CCCCCCCCCCCCCCGTTACTGTGGGCAGCCATCCCTGCGCCCCCCCACCCCAGCTCACCTCCACTCCACCTCCTCGCCTGAGCGGGCTTTTAGGTGCCCTCAACCACTAGGCGCCCTAGGCAGCCGCTTAGTTCGCCTAGTGGTTGCACCGGCCCTGGACATTATCTTTTGCTATAATGTTTGCATATTTCCATAAAACTATCTGGTAGATGCAAGATACGCCAATGAATGTCTAGTAATGGGCTATAAAAACTTACAAGTTTTGTCAATGAACTAGCAAAGAGATAAAGCTTCCTGTAGCTAAACACAGGGGTCAGATCCTCAGCTGGTGCAAATCAATGTAGCTTTGTTGACTTCAGTGAAGCTACACTTATGTAGTTCAGCTGAGGATCTGGATCAGTAGGTCTTCTCTGCCTTTTAGTTTTCTCATGAGGTCCTTGGTAGCTTTCAAAGAGGTTTGGATCCTCTAAAGAAAGCTCTATCCGTTTTTTTCAGCTTTTGAATGGTTAGATCAATGGTGCTCAAAGCGCAGTACATGAATAGCAACATGGCGCTTTATTTCCCCTTGAATAATAATCTTGCCAGCCCAAGAGAATCTATGGAATGGTAGTCTGTACATTACTTGAAAATATATTTTTCAGCAGGATTTCCTATCACCAGGATCTGTACTTTTTCAGCTGTGCAGCTGCAGAAAACTGAGGTACGAATGAAAGTATCAATTTTCTCCAATCTGATGGACAGGATTATGATTGGACATGAAGAGAGTATTTAAATTAGCAGGTAACAATACATGCAGCAGGTGACATAGAGATAGTCTGAATGGAGAAAAGATGCTGAAATACTGACTGATGGGAAATGAGAAGGGGAAAACCCATTCCAGAAGTCTGACAATATGTCACGGTTGTTCAAAGTTTAAGGTGAACCTCAAGAATGCCTAAGAGTTGCAATGGCTCTAGCTCTCTCTGTCACAAATACTACTAGTACAGTAGGTTTGCTGTGGCTTGTTTTTGTAACTTAGTTCTTGCCCTGTGATCCAGCCCTTCTGCTCTATTAAATAAAGTAAGGAAGAAGTACTTTAAAGTCAATTTAAAGCCATATCAAGAAAGTGGTGATAAAGGTACGAACACATGGAAGAAGTGGAAACCAGCAAACTGAAGATGAATTATATCTTTGTCAGGAAATTATAGGAGGTTTCTTGCCTGATGGAACTCCCACTGCATTCAGTAGGGGTTGGATCAGGATCTTAGAGAAGGTTTCGGAAAGGTTCTGAGTGCCCACAGTTCTCACTGAAGTCAATAGGAGTTGTAAGTGCTCAGTTCCTCTCAGGACCAAGCCCTAAATACTTAAAATTATGCTGAAGTGACAGCAATGAAGTGGACTAAGGCCTGGTCTACACCTAAAACTTAAGTTGACCTAGATACATTGCAAAACCTGTGAAAAATGTCATGCCCTGTGCAATGTAGTTAGGTCGACCTAACCCTCACTGTCGATGCAGCAAGGTCAACAGAAGAATTCTTCTGTCAGCCTAGAGGGGGTAGATTTTCTACAGTGCCTTTTCTATTACTGCCTTTTGAGGGGGTAGATTTTCTACAGTGATGGAAAAACCTTTGTGGTGCTATCATAAGTGTCTACCAGACAGCTGTGCTGCTGTAGCAACTGGAGTATAGACATAAGCTAAATAAAAAACAGATCATGTTATTTTACCAGTAGGTTGTCTAATCCTGCTCAGACCAGGTCTAAATGACACAGTGGTAAAAACGCTGTTGGATGCAAGAGTCTTTTCTCTGAGCTCAAAAATCCTTTGAGAAGACAAGGCCTTATAGTTGCCTTGAGCCACAGAGAGTTTGGATTAGCATCTAGAGCCAAATTTCTCCAGAGCTGAGAAACGTTTGCATCCAGCATTTTGATCGGGACCTCTCTCTAGCCTTTAGTGATGCAAGGATATTATGATGAAGCTGAACTGTGACACAGGGCTGGACTACCTTACTGTGCTAATTCTCTGTTCTGTTACAATAATGTGCAAAGCAGCACTCTTTTCTTTGGATAGATTCAAAGCACTAAGCCTGCCTCCTTTCCTAGGGAAAAAGGCTCTCCTGGTCAATATGAAGGGAGTGTATGTGGCTGGGAGGAGGAGAAGGAGGATGTACTATAATTCACCTGTCTTATGAATTAGTTTAAAGTGATCTGCAAAGGGTAGGAGTGAAAGGAAAAAGGTCTTTTCCCTTCTTTGCTTCTTTAGAATATATAAAAAAGTTTTGAAAGGGTTCCCCCCCACAGACTCCAAAAAAAGAGGGGGTGGATGATTCTGCTTTTTTATTTTTTTAATTAAAAAAAAAAAAAAACCCTTAGAAATTCAAGTCTTGACTCCTTGCAAGATTCGGCGACTACTGGAGAATGAATGAAATTAGGACATCTCAAGAGAGTGAAAGATGAGCAAATGTGGAAGGAAGAGATTTTTTAGGCAGGCTGTTTAATATTTTTTTCTTTAGTGACCAATTCATTCCCATGTCTAAGTGAAATTAGGGGAAAAGAATGTCTTAGTTTCAACATTTCACCTTTTCAATTAAGGTATGGCAGCTCACAACACCCATCTTCCACACCTCCCAAGAACTGCTTCTCAATGCCAGGAAATATCAGGCTTGACAATTCAAATATTTTAAAGGTAATAAAAAAATCTGAAAAAACTTTAACCTCTCCCCCACCCTAACCACCACCATTCAAGATGGCCAGCTTCACACATAATAAGGAAGGAAAAAAGGGCCTAAAACACAATATTTAAAATTCCTTTACAGGTCACTTTTACACTTCAAGATCATCATCCCTCTTCCTTTCCTTCATCATAACAAAACCAAAACATATTTACCTTCCTGAGTGTGTTCCTATTGCTACCACTGTTCCACTTGGATGGAAATCAGCACAGTGTCCTGGTTCCTGCAAGAGAAAGGTGTAGTTATATGACTTAATATCAAATGTTTTAATATTCACAACCTCCCTTACATTCAAGCAATGTTAAAAGGTCTCACATTAGCTAACAAAAGAAGGAAAGTGGAGTCAATTCTGAAAGGCCAGGTCTAACTCACAGCACATTTTTGATTATTACGGTATTTATTTGTTATATATTGCCACATGACTTTCAGGCAAACAACAAGACAAAGTTTCTGCCACAAAACTTACAATCACCTGGGTAATATGAGAAGATAAATCAGTATATTATGTACAAATATAGAAAAAAGGGAAAACTCCTAAAGCAGAGCATTCCAAACTCTGAATTTTTTCAAAGTTCTTGTTCGGACTGTACAAAGATTATTCATGAAAAAAAAATTGGGTTCATGAGCAGAGTCCTGGTTCCCATCACTAAGTAATGTCATTGTATAACGTAGAACAATGCTTATTAAGCTTGTTATTTTTAATGGTCTGATGGAGACTTTTACAAGAATACAATCTTTTACATAATTCTGTTCTATTCAAGAAAGCTTTGAACTGACGTAAAAAAAAAAAAAGGACAAGACAAGAAAAATAAAGCCTCAGTTGAACACATCATTCACAGCTTTGCTCATGCAAGTATTATACAAACTCCCACTTTCCCAGTTTCTGAGAGTGAGTGTTTTGGGGGAAGATGTTTCCACACACATGTCCCCAAGTTAAATTTCCTTAGCACTTGACAGTTCACTGTTAAAATTAGCCAAGGTGCTATATACTACTGAGTTACTTGAACCCATATTTATATTTTCCAGAGGCAGGACACCTTCCAGCTAGCCATTTTAATCCTACAGTTTCCCACATTTTGCCTGTTTGTGGAGGATAAGCTACATATGTTAATTTCAAATGCTTCTGAAATACATTTTCAGTACTTTCCCTCTGATTGTTATTTTTAAACTCAATGCCATTAGAAGAAAGCTCACGTACATCTAGCAGCCTGGTCCATTCTAGTGTGTGGTCCACAGAGTTCCACATACAAACTTGCCTATCTTGAGCACATGTTAACAACAAATCTTTGAAGGGATGTGTTGCCAGACCCCAGAGTTCATCTGTATGACCCTGAAAAGGAAACACATTATTTACTTAATATAGTTCCAAGACATACACCAGTAACCCTGCCTCCCACAAAGTCTCTTGGTTTAGGTCTTGAGAGAAAAAACATACCAGAGGAAAAGTTTGAATTTGCAGTAAGAAAAATATTGTGCTCACCTGTACCTCTACTTGGAAACCATCATTAAATGTTCCCCGCAAAATAAAGTTTCGTGAAGTGCCAACTAAAAACTGATCTGCTTTTCCTTCTGCTACTGCTCTGATTGTCCCGTACTGATCAGGAACCTAGGAAAACAAATTTCTGTAAAGGCAAATCTTAACACGTACCAATTTTCATCTTTGAAGGACACAATTACTGTAGTGTATCATGAAACAATAATCAACAGGAGATGCAGTTTCCAATTAAAATGGAATAATCCAACCTATTTGACATCAGGATATTGACCATATTCAGCAGCTGAGTTCACACAGTCTAATCCGATCACTCACAAACTTAACTGCAGTTCCATTTTATACACCTATGCATTTTCTCACTAGAAATAATTAAAAGGATCTGCCAGCACACAGGTTTGGGAACACAGACACCACAACATTTAATGAACCTATTAATGTCTGCTTTAAGGAACAGCACCAAAAGAAGCCAGGAAGAAGAGATTGTTCACTCCACCCTCTCAAAACCTGAAAGGGTGGGAATGTTAGTGGAGGGATCATTAGAGAGACAAGGTGGGTGAGGTAATATCTTTTATTGGACCAACTTCTGTTGGTGAGAGAGACAAGCTTTCAAGCCACACAGAGCTCTTCGTCAGATCTGGGAAATGTACTCAGAGCTCACAGCTAAATACAGGGTGGAATAGATTGTTTAGCATAACACATATTTCCAGAGTGCATTCAAGGTGAAGTGGCCATTAACATCTCTCCAGTCTGGGGGGAAAAAGACAAAAATGTTGGGGGTGGGGGGGAAGTCGGTTATAGATTGGTGAAACAAGCCATAGTTCCAGTGTCTCTATTTAGTCCATGATTTTTAGTTTCTAGCAACATTATGAATTTAAGGTCCCAGGCTCATCTTTTGAAAGTGCTGTGCAGGCTTTCTTTGAGGACGAGGACCGAGAGGTCAGATATAGAGTGATCGCTTTGTGAAAAGTGTTCACCCACAGGTGATGTGGTGGTTTTGTCTTCTATCATTTTTCTGTGTGAATTCATTCAAGAGAGCATAGTGATTGTCTGATTTAACCCACATAGTTGCTATTGGGGCAATTAGTGCACTGGATGAGGTACACCACACATGAAAGGTATGTGTAGACCATAGATCTTGAAAGGTGTGTCATGGGGTGGGGGGTCTGATCATCATAGCAGTGAAGATAATGTCTATGGGTTTTGCATCTATTATTCAGACAGTGTCAGGTGCTGCTTTGACTTGGTGTGTGGGGAGCTTGCTTCTGATGATGTGCTGGGAGAGGCGCGGGGGGGAATGTTTGAAGGCCAGAAAGGGTTCAGGAAAGGATGTGGTCCCCACTGAATATGGATTGTAATTGTTTGATGATACCCCGTATGAGGATCTGGCAGTCACACCTAATGCTAGATCTATACGGCATCTGAGCGGTGTAATTCCCAGCTCAGGTAGACATACATGAGCTAGCTCTGCTCAAACAAATGCCTACAAATAGCAGTTTGGCTGAGCCGCCCAGGTACATACCAAGGGGGTCAGGCAGGTTGGTACTCAGGCAGCTAGCCCAAACTGTTGCCCGTGCTGCTGTGGCCACACTGCGATTTTTAGGCACTAGTTTGAGCAGACCTAGTACGCGTACATTTACCCACATTGGGAATAACACCTGCCAGCTGCCTGTGTAGACATACCCCAAGTCTTCACTTGCTGATGGAGCACTGTAAGACAATTGTCTTCCACCAGCTTTCGAAAAGACATACCTCTCAACTGGTGCTCGCTAGCTGTATGTACGCTACTTAATCTGAAATTTACCCATGAGGCTGCTGTAGGAGCTGTATTTTGCTGGAAGAGACTATTTCCCCCACCCCACCCGGCCTTCCCCACCCACCCTGACTGATGTCAAGAATCACCCTAACCCCAGCCCATTTATTCACTCAGGTCAGGCACATACACAAGGACTTGACCCCAAAGCAACGATATCATCATCATTCTGTAAATACGTTTCCCCACTTTCTCACCCAAGAATATATATAATATCCCTGAAAACACTTAGGTGGGTGCTTAACTTTATGCATGTCGATAGTCCCATTGATCTCAGTGATGTGTGTACAATTAAGTAAAGTTCAGTAACAGTTTGCAGGATCAGTGCCGTAATGTGCATTTTGCTTTGATAAATAAAGGCAGTTAACTCAACATATGAACTTTGTGGAAAAAGTTAAATGTGAACTGGGACAGCTCAGTAATTTATGCTTTTGCAAAATCTTCTGAGCAAACAGGTCTTTATAATTTAGTTCAGCCCCGATACAGACACATAAGGCTGATTAATTCTTATTTCAACGTTTTAAGTTATTGTGTGTCTATCTATTCATGTACACACATACACCCCTCTTTAAAAAAAGGCAACCCTTTGGGCATTTCTAATACATCTGTCACCTTATGGTCTGATACAGAGACACACAATGCCCACAGATACCCAAGGAAGTCAATGGGAGTTGAGAGTGCTCAGCATCTTTGAAAAAAAAATCAGGGTATTAGTATATAAGTGTCATAACGTTATAAATAAGCTATGGTTTAATTTAAAAAAATAGCTATTAATGTCAAGATCCATTAGAATCTAGCATGCTCAAACAAGCTACTTCCAGGATAGGGAGAAAATGTATATTCATTTATTTGTCTAAAAATACATGGTGATAATAAAGAGGAGTGGTAACATTTTCAAAAGTGCTTTAATGACTTAGGAGCCAGCTCCATAAGACTAAATGCAGGTAGAGATTATACCAGTGGTGGGCAACCGGTGGCCCGCGGCCTGCATGTGGCCCATCAGGGTAATCTGATTGTGGGCAGTAAGACATTTTGCTGACATTGACCGTCCGCAGGCACCATCCCCCGCAGCTCCTAGTGCCCGCAGTTCTCTGTTCCCGGCCAATGAGAGCTGTGGGGAGCAGCGGCCAGCACGTCCCTGCGGCCCCTTCGCCTGCAGGCGCCGCTCCCCACAGCTCCCGTTGTCCGGGAACAGAAAACTGTGGCCACTGGGAGCTCCGAGGGGCGGTGCCTGTGGACGGTCAATGTCAGCAAAATATCTTGCGGCTTGCAATCAGATTACCTTGGTGGGCCACATATGGCCCACACATTGTCCACCACTGGATTATACATACAGAATCTGATGTTTGCACTTTTAAACACTAGACACTGGAAATCTGAAAGAAAAATGGTGTTGTTTCTAGCAAATGCGTCCTTATTTTATTAAATTTTGATGGATGTTCATGAGCTCTGTCAGCAACTACTTTAGCCTATAATAATTTTTATTTACTGTATGTTTAAACTGTATTACACAATGCTGTTCTATTTTACTATATGTTGTCCTATTCTGAGTGCTCCTTTTCTGTTTAATTATTAATCTGAACAATAGCCATAAAAGTAAAATAATCATCACTATGAAAGTTATTTATTCACGGTACTGGCAGGATTTTTCAACACAAAATAATTACTATGTACAGAGTACATGGCACATTAGCAAAGGGAATGTGGAGATGATGATCAATATTGCTCAAATTACTGTTTACCAAGTGTAACAGATATTTCTCTCTCAGCTGGTGTTTACTTATTAGATACACTTATGAATTAGCTTCAAGGCAGTTCTTTAAAAAAAGATTGTGGGGATTCATTTGCTTAACTGCTACATTTAGTTTCCCAAAATGCTGTGAATTCATCATTGTGATAAGCTGATACTGTTTAAATAGAAAATACAATTCAAAGTAGTATTATAAAGAATTTCTAAAAGGGATAAACTATTCCTTGTACCTTTGTCACTATAGTGTACCAGTGGCAGGCTGTTACAGCTGCTTTAAAATATCACAAAGTGTAATTTTTATTTTAGAGAAGTAATCACAATTTGCTTGGATTTGCTATGTACCAAAATTGTGTACAGATACCATACTTTGAAATGGTGGTAAATAATTTTGATCAAGCAGATGACTGTTAAAGTAACTATGATGTTAAAACAACCTCCTCACACCAATCATTATTTCTTAGGTACAGAATATTCTTATGTATTCTGTAAGCAGTCTATCAAATGTAAAGGACATTAGCTATCTGACAGTGTACAGGAAAATGTGATGAGATTACATCTCAGTTACTTTGCTTTTGACCAGAACCATATTTTTCTCTCCAAAGAGGCAACTTTGTTGTGGGGATACTGGAAGATAGGTGTTGCTAAATAACATCTTTTTTGTTAAAGGGATGAGTAAAATCTAGCCAAGAAGGGCTCAGAGAAGAAGAAACTGGAAATTTCTGATCATTCCTTCCTGATTAGTATCTGAACCTCATTTATAGTTAATACAAAGCTACATTGAGGCTTAATATCTTTTTATTTTTATATATTATATATATATTTATTTTAAATTAACTACTGGATTTATAAATGGAAAACAGCAAAAAATAATTCAAAAAAGTAATGAAATACTGTAATCCCAGACTCTGACTTACTGATTTTTTCCTTATGTACAGTTTCTTGACATAAGTGTGTGGGGGTGGGGAGAGGGGGGAGGGGTTGTGCTTCCTCTCTTACCTCTATTTCCCTTTCAGGGTTCAGATCATGATCCCACAGAATGATTTTTCTGTCTTTCCCACCTCCAGTTAGCAGCATTCCATTCCTCATTTGACATAGTGTGAACACGCTGCCATCGTGAGCTTTGATTTGTCTACTTATTTGATATACACCTACAATCATGAAAAAATATAATGAATGCCACTCATTTTTTTTTCAGTATGGATTTCACAAAACTTTGCATTTTGGAACAAGAACTAAGTGGCACTGTACAATAAGAAATGTTATTGGGTGTTTGAGGCTGTTCCAATGAGTATTACAAACAAAAGGTGGTAGTGTTTTTTTACAGAAAACTAGAAGACTAAACAAAGATCTGCTCACCTGTATGATTATTTTGTGAGGTTGTTTCTAAAATTTTTGTGGTGTGGAAAATCCAAATATCCAATCGAAAGCTCAACAGAATAGTACTGGGGCAAGAATGCATTCCTGCTGCACAACTGAGGTTGTGCAGAAACATGGCAAAAGCTGTGGACCTACGTGCACTCTCTCACTGGTATGAAGATCATGCACCAGATTCAGCAGAATATTTGGAACACCAAATCCTTTCTGTGCGAACCAAAGTGCTGACCTAAAGACTGAATCAAGAGCCACTTTGATATTGATATATGCCATGTGAAGTGGGCATAAGTACCCTGCTAAATCTGGGACTGATTTTCAAAGGTACTGAGCACCCACGGGATTTATTGGTGTTTGGCATCTTGGAAAATTAGGCCATTGCTATTTATGTGTCTAAATATATAGATTAGGAGCCTAACATCAAGCACTTAAGTTGGAAAACTTTGGCCAATGTTTAGTAGCATTCCATAATGCTTATATATTCAGTGGGAGGTAAGGAATTACTTTGCAAAAGGGGGAAAATGAGGTACAAAGGTTAACATTTTCAAACTTTGATTCCTAAAATCAAACACCTAAACGAAGTTGGGCTGATTTTCAGAGATGCTGGTCACCCACAGTTCCACTTTATTTAGACCACTTTTTGAAAATATTCCTAAATATAGTTTTAACTTTAGGCACACAAGTTTGAAAATGATGACCTGAGTGACTTAAGGTCGCTCAGCGGCACAGCTAGGATAAGACCCAGAACTCCCAATCTCTAGTCCCATCCTCTAATCACTAGATGCTAACCTCCAGAAGAGGTTAATTCTCACTTCTGAAGAATTGGGTTTTCTTAAATGTCTGCTGTTATATGATGTTTCCTTATGCACAGATGTATAACATACTCTTATGTGAGCACTTCTTAAAATAAACCCTTAGCCTGAAGGCTAGGCAAGGCACATGAGCCACAAAGAGCATATCTGCCAATTTCAAATTGTTCCATATGGGTCAGTGCAAAATGGGCACGTTTTCTAGATGTCTGCAAGAGGGGACTGTGTAAGATATATAGCAGTATTTGGAACTTTGTAGGCCCAGTTGATTTTTCCTGATTAATTTGACCCTATGATGCAGTCGAAAATGCTATGAAGCCTTTCAATTACCGATGTGAACACTTTTCTCACAAAAATATTTTCAAAATACAAAAAACAAGAAAAAATGGTCTTGGATATAGTTGGCAGTTATTGTGCGATTATATTTACTCAGACTATATTTTGAGCACAGATGCTCAAATAGATGGGAATTGCCACCTGCTATATGAAGTAATATAAAAAGGCAAGTTTCTAGAGCTTCAAATACTTTCTTAAAAACTAAGAAAAGCAGAGGATATCAACTTTACTTAACTGTCTGTAGGGCGCAAGTTAACAGGTTTTTAAAATCTGGTTTCACACCCCACCCAAAAAAAAAAAAAGGGGGGGGGGGTGTCTAGGACCTACGTAAAAGCCCATCACCAATCCAATATGGTAAACTAACTTAAAAAAAAAAGGAATTAAGCCCATGTATGAAATACTCCAGCCATCATGGGCAAAAACTTTTAAAGATGATCATGGCAAAAGCTATTTGCACAGACGTTATAAAATTAACTAAACATTTAATATTTTCTTAATTATTTTTCCATTTCAATTAATGTTTTTTTTAAAAAAAAAAAAACAGATTTACCTACAAAAATAGATTTGCAGTTAAAGATTTGCTTCTTACATGACTGACTTAAACTGGTATGCCAGGAAAACAGAGTGTTTGAAATAGCTGCCAAGTAAAATAATTATCCTTGAATTTAAAAGCTACCTGAGGGCTCAACAGTGCTAGTTCTCCATATGTCTAGTAGCAATTCATTTTTCTTCTTTTATTTTAATTGAACAAAAAGCTCACCCTAAAAAACAAGTTCAACCCAAATGCCAAATCAAATGGGATTTAAAGTATAGTTTAGTGTCAGGATTTGAGCACCTGCTTAGTTAGAAACTATTATTATTTGGTTAACTCCTACACTTCTGTACTACACTTTTTTCATTACATACAGGTCCTCTTAATATAAGCTTTCTTTATGACGGATAGTCATTTGAGACTTTAAAGGTTTCACAATACATGAGTCAAGAGCCAAATGTAGTCCACGGAGTACTAAAAAAGTGAGCCTGCGGCCTCCCTGAAACTATAGGGTGAGGACAAATCTGATTAACTGCACCATTTTTATTGCTGGGAAATTCAAACAAAATAATTTCTATTCATTTTGGACCCAATCCTGCAAGGTGCTGAACAGCTCCAGCAAGGTGTAAAGTCAATGGGCTTGTCAATGGGAGTTGTGGAAGCTCAGCACTGTCTAAGATTGGGCTCTTATCAAGGAAGATACAAATACACCTTCACCCCGATATAATGCTGTCCTCGGGAGCCAAAAAAATCTTACTGCGTTATAGGTGAAACCGAACTTGCTTTGATCCGCCGGAGTGCGCAGCCCCGCCCACCTGGAGCACTGCTTTACCGCGTTATATCCGAATTCGTGATATATCGGGATGCGTTATATCGAGGTAGAGATGTACAAGCAAATGCTATTGTCGTATATAGATACTTTTAATACAAATCATTATGCAAATTTATAAGCAACTTACAAGCATCTCTTGGGGTCTTGGCATGTAGCCAATTTAGCCATTTGGGTCCAAAAGACTGGGCACCCTTGCATACTGAAGCATTTATACCACTGAATTTCTCGATCACATTCCATATGGTGCAATGTGATGACTATCATTCTTATCACTTGCTAAGGGTTCGACCCTCTGGTAAAGCTATTATATCCCCCTCTGTAGTTCTGCCACTCTAGTAAGGATTATAGACATTTCTATGGCTGCAATCCCAGATAAAACAGAATGCTTCTCCCGGCCTTTAACAAATGATTCTAGCAGTAGCTGGGAGTAAAATTGCATTTTCATATGCATACTGACACAAAAGAGACAAACCAATTAACACCATGGTTTGTTTTTGCAATTCAATTTTATAAAAAAGAAATCAGATTAATAGACCAAAAGGGACCATTATGATCTTCTAGTCTGACCTCCTGCATACCACAGGGCATGGAATTTAAACATCAAGCCCAATGATGATAATGACCGTTGCAAAACTCAAGAGAGAAAGCACTGTACATATTATGGACGGGTTTATTTTTCTATTTGTCACCCTAACACAATCTTTTGTACGTATGTTTTCTGCAGACCACCATGCTGTAAAATTAACTGTGAGTGTTCTGTACCTTTAGGTCCTTTTCCTGGCGTGGATTCTACTGTAGTTTTGCTCCATATAAGCATTATCCCACCTGAGTCTCCAGTGAGCACATCTCCATTCCCCAAAAATGCCAAACACTGCACAAATTTGGGTTTTTCATATTTCTGAAATGGAACAGCAAGAGAAATTAGAGTATAATTGTACAGACACATGCACACCCGCATGTGTAAAAAATAGTTCCCAGTTTTCATAATTTATTTCTCCATCCAACATGTGTAATAAGGACGGTGATCCAAATTCATAGCTGGCAGGAGTGGCTAACTCACGGGTTGGCAACTTATGACATGCGTGCCAAAGGTGGCACGCGAGCCGATTTTGCCTGGCACGCAGCTGCCAGCCGGGGTCCCGGCCGCCGGCCCTGCTTAGCTTGCTACCAGCTGAGTGAACGGAACCCCAGGCCGGCAGAAGGCTGAGCGGGGCCGGCGGCTGGGACCCCAGACCGGCGGCAGGTGCGCCCCCCGGCTCCCCTCTCACGGCGCTTGGGTTCTGCGGCTCCCGGAAGTGTGAGCCGCCGGGGTGCGGAGCGCTGAGCCTGCTCTGGGAGGGGCGGTGGCTCACACTTCCGGGAGCCGCAGAGCCCGAGCGCGACGAGGGGGGAGCCGGGAGGTGCATGGGGACCACCGCCAGCATGCATGCGCTGCAGGAGCCTCCCCCCCCTGGGGGGGCACCGGGCTGCAGCCCGGGCAGGCGCGCCCCCCGGCACCCCCCTCACCACATTTGGGTTCTGCGGCTCCCAGAAGTGTGAGCCGCTGCCGCTGCTGCCCCTCCCGGAGCTCCCCCCCTCCCGCTGCCTCAGCATTCTGCGGGGGAGGGGCTGTGCGCGCGGCAGCCCTGCAGCGTGTTTTGCCTCCACGTGGAGCCAGTGTCTGACCGGCATGGGCATGCTAAGGGGAGTCCTGGGGGGCAGTCAGGGAGCAGGGGGAGGGTTGGAAGGGTCGGGAGTTCTGAGGGTCCTGTCAGGTGGCAGGGAGTGGTTGGATAGGCGTGGGAGTCCCGGGGGTCTGTCTGGGGGTGGGGGGTGTGGATAAGGATCAGGGCAGTAAGGGGACAAGGAACAGGGAGGCTTAGGTAGGGGGTGGGGTTCTGGGGGGCAGCTAGGGGCAGGGGTCCCAGGAGGGGGCAGTCAGGGGACAAGGAGCAGGGTTGGGGGTTCTGAGGGGGGAAGTCACGGGTTGGGAAGTGGGAGGGAGTGGATGGGGGTGGGGCTCTCCCCCCCGTCCTCTCTTTTGATTGTTGAAATATGGTAACCCTAGGCGAGGGGGAAGCCGGGGGGCGCATGGGGGCATTTTAACGTGTATTACCGGTACGTGAAACCTTAAATTAGAATGAATAAATGAAGACTCGGCACACCACTTCTGAAAGGTTGCCGACCCCTGGGCTAACTCCACTGACTTCAATTGTACTCATTTATGAATCTGGCCTAGTGCAAAAATATTTCTTACCCCAAAAATCCCTTGCTTTCTTGCTAGTGAATTGCCACTCCAGGTCCAAAAAAAGATGTGAGATTTGCCACAAGTTATGATTGTGTTTGCATCAGTTGGATGGAATTCTACAGCAAGCACAACTTCATTTGTAGTCTATAGAAACAATAAAAGAAACCATGAGCTTAATATAATATTTATTCAGATGGATATTAATTTACTATTTTACACACACATACAGACACACACAGACACACACACACACACACACACAGTTTTACATAGATAAAAGAGTATATCGAATATTGTGAGTGTAAATGTATATATATAAAAACATACACACAGATCTGTTTGGATAAGAATAAATATTAATTTGCTGTTGTCTTTTACATTTCTGAAAGATTTAATAAGATTTGTAGCCAGAAAGAGAGGTTTTATTAAATCTGAAATGATCCTTTGGCATAGCATTCTTTCCCCCCCTCTAAGAATGCCTTTTGCAAAAGAAAACAGGAAAAACACAAAAGACTTTTTGTGGATGAAATAACAAAAACTTGCTGCTGTCTGATTTCAAGACACATATGAGCATCTCATTGTTTTGGATAATGGATTTATGATAGAGGTAACTCAGCCAATCATAATACACTTGGTTCTTTCCCCCCTGCTCTGAAAAAACTACATAACTCAAGATAATAAATATAGCCCCTTTGTGACACTATAAATAGATTGGAACTTTTCACAAGTTGGATGTACCTTTACTGTATAGTAATAGCTAAGTGAATTGTATTATTTTATTAATTTTAAAATAATCTTTCATTTTACTCATATTTTACAACAGATTCATTTTTTTACAATTTTTTCAGATAATACTCGTCTGCTATCCAGTAATTAATATAAGTTCAGTGAAACCTGTACAAGAAAATACCTTTAGAAGGCAATCTCCGGTGCCGATTCAACAAAGCACTTAATCACATCTTTGCTTACCTTAAAGTATGTGCATTTAAGCATTGGCTTCAATGGGACTTAAGCATATGCTTAAATGCTTTGCTGAATAAGGATCCACGAGACTATCCCAACTATCCCCATATGTATTTAATAAATTCTTATTCAGTGTCATTAGAAGACCATAGTGATTTTTGTTGGACACCGGTGGCAATTTAAATGATATTTCACTGTATATGTGAAACCACACAAGTATGTACATAATCACGTATGCACACAAACTTTAGACCATATAACTATTAGATTTTAGGGCCCAACCTTGAAAGGTGCAGAACACCTTTAACTCCCACTAAAGCCAATGGCTGATGAAAGTGGTTCAGCAACTTGCAGCATCAGGCCCCAAGTGGAAACTCTGGGGCACAACTTGCCTGCATTCCAAGAAATAATTATGACCATCCAAATAAAAAACCCCCTCAAGATACCAGATTCCAGGACTGAAGTACTATAGAATTTAGAAACCAAAAGCATTTATAAAATATAAAGAGGTTTTTTTAAACTAACACTTGAAACTGCTGATGTTAATTTTTAATAAAATCTTGGAATACCAGGGAAATTCCAGAAGACAGGAAGGCTACTAATGTTGTGTCAATATTCAAAAAGGGCGAGAAGGATGACCTAGGTAACTACAGTCGGACATCAATCCTGAGCAAAATAATGTTTAACCTAAATCTGATTAAAAGTTAGCACCATACAATATCAATAAAGCCTATGTTTAATGGATTCAGAACCGGCTAATTGATATATCTGGAAATACACCTCTACCCCGATATAACACGAATTCGGATATAACACAGTAAAGCAGTGCTCCGGGGGGGCTGCGCGCTCCGGCGGATCAAAGCAAGTTCAATATAACATGATTTCACCTATAACGCAGTAAGATTTTTTGGCCCCTGAGGACAGCGTTTTATCGGAGTAGAAGTGTAATAGCTGCCAGTGTGAAACCATCTTTGAATGGGGGTGTTTATAATGGTGTTCTGCAAAGATCGACAGTAGGCCTGACACTATTCAACATTTTCATCAATGGTCTGGAAGTAAATATAAAATCACTGTGATAAAATTTGCAGATGACACAAAGGACAGGGCTGTGAAAGAGTCCTGAGAACTAACAGCTGCCCCAAAAGGGAAGAGAGAGAGAGAGAGGGCTAGCAGAGCCCAGGGGAAACGAATTCTTCAGCTGGTGAAATTGTTTCCTCTTCCTCTCCCTGCAGAAAGGGCTGAGGAGTGAAGGACAGGGTAGGTAGAAATGCTGCTCGGGGGTTGTGATGGTGTCTTGGCAGAGTTAACGAATAACTCACAAGCAACAGAGGGTCCTGTGGCACCTTTAAGACTAACAGAAGTATTGGGAGCATAAGCTTTCGTGGGTAAGAACCTCACTTCTTCAGATGCAAGTAATGGACATCTCCAGAGGCAGGTATAAATCAGTATGGAGATAACGAGGTTAGTTCAATCAGGGAGGGTGAGGTGCTCTGCTAACAGTAGAGGTGTGAACACCAAGGGAGGAGAAACTGCTTCTGTAGTTGGATAGCCATTCACAGTCTTTGTTTAATCCTGATCTGATGGTGTCAAATTTGCAAATGAACTGGAGCTCAGCAGTTTCTCTTTGGAGTCTGGTCCTGAAGTTTTTTTGCTGTAAGATGGCTACCTTAACATCTGCTATTGTGTGGCCAGGGAGGTTGAAGTGTTCTCCTACAGGTTTTTGTATATTGCCATTCCTGATATCTGACTTGTGTCCATTTATCCTCTTGCGTAGTGACTGTCCAGTTTGGCCAATGTACATAGCAGATGGGCATTGCTGGCACATGATGGCATATATAACATTGGTGGACGTGCAGGTGAAAAAGAGAAGATGTGCCACAGGACCCTCTGTTGCTTTTTACAGATTCAGACTAACACGGCTACCCCTCTGATACGATGAATAACTCACCGACATCCAGAGACTGTTGGTGAGGGAATGAGAGGAGCTTGCCCTGTTACAAGGGCTGTCATACAGAGTGATCTGGAGCACTTGGAAAGCTAGGCCAGTTTTAATACAGCCAAATGCAAAGCTATAGATCTAGGAACAAGGAACGCAGGTCAGACCTAGAGAATGGTGGCCTGTATCCAGGAAAGCAGTGATGCTCAGCAAGGAGTTAGGGGTCATAGTGGACAAACAACTCAACATGACCTCCCAGTGCTATGCTGCTGCAAAAAAGGGATAAGCAATCCTTGCATGTATAGAAGGGAGAGTAGTAAGTAGGAATAGGGAGGTGACTTTACCGCTGTATATGGCATTGGTAAGACTGATACTGGAATACTGCATCCAGTTCTGGTGCCCACATTTTAAAAGGATGTTGGAAAAACTGAAGAGGGTGCAGAAAAACACCTACAAAAATGATTCGAAGAGTGGAAAAAATGCCATACGGTGATAGCCTTTAAGAGCTCGATCTGTTTAGTTTATCAAAAAGAAAACAGAGGTGACTTGATTACACAGTGTATAAGTACTTTCATGGGGAGAAAATACTGGGTAGAATGGTTGGAAGCTGAAACCAGACATATCCAAATAGGAACTAAGGCACTTAAAAAAAAAAAGAAGATAGTGAGAATAATGAATCATTGGAGAAAACTACCTAGAGCAGTGGTTTTCAAACTTTTTTTCTGGTGATCCAGTTGAAGAAAATTGTTGATGCCCGTGACCCAACAGAGCTGGGGATGAGAGGTTTGAGGTGTGGGAGGGGCTCAGGGCTAGGGCAGAGGGTTGGGATGCGGGCTGTGGGGTGGGGCAGGGAATGAGGGGTTCAGGGTGTGGGAGGGGGCTCAGGGCTGGGGCAAGGGGTTGGGGTGTGGGAGAGGGGCAGGGCTCTGGGTGAAGGCTGAGGATGAGGGGTTTGGGGTGCAGGAGGGGGCTCTGGATTTGGGGGGCTCCAGGCAGGGGTGCGGGAGGAGGTCAGGGGTCTGGGCTGGGGGTGCAGGCTCTGGGGTGGGACCAGGGATGAGGGGCTCGGGGTGCAGGAAGGGGCTCCGGGTTTGAGGGGGGGCTCAGGGCTGGGGCAGGGAACTGGGGCAGTGGAGTTCAGGCACAGGCTTACCTCCGGCAGCTCCCAATCAGCGGCGCAGCCGGGGTGCAGAGACAGGTTTCCCGCCTGTCCTGGCACTGCGGACCGTGCTGCACCCCAGAAACGGCCAGCAGCAGGTCTGGCTCCTAGGCAGAGGCACACAAGTGGCTCTGCACGGCTTTCGCCCACAGGCACTGCCCCCCAGCTCCCATTGGCCAGTTCCCGGCCAATGGGAGTGTGGAGCCGGTGCTCGGGCAGTGCGCGGAGCCCAGTGGCCCCCCACCGCCTAGAAGCTGGACCTGCTTCTGGCTGCTTCCTGGGCGCAGCACGGTATCAGAACAGGCAGAGAATAGCCTGCTTTAGCTGGGCAGCACCGCCAACAGGACTTTTAATGGCCCGGTCAGCGGTGCTGACCAGAGCTGCCGTGACCAGTGCCTTACATTCCGCGACCCAGTACTGGAAAACCACTGACCTACAGAAGTGATGGATTCTCCATCTGTTGTTTTTGTATCAAGACTGGATGTCTTTCCAGAAGATATGCTACAGCCAAACAGTAGTTGTGGTCCAATACAGGGTAAAAGGGCGAAATTTTATGGCCTGTGATGTAAAGAAGGTCAGACTAGAAGATTTAATGGTCTTTTCTGACCTTAAGCTCTATAAATAGATGAATATTGTACATCTCATCAGGCAGGCAGCAACTTCAATCTAGAGATTATCTTTTCATTCCCATTTCAGAAGGAAATAAGGGTTAGAAAAGAGAAAAATACTGTAGTGCCATATGGTAAATATTTTAAAACTTAAGGGCCGATTCTGGTATAAAACAGAAGAAACACTACCGAGACCAATGGAGTTAGAGCAGTGTAAAACGAAGGTGGAAGCAGAATCAGGACAGTAATATTTTCAAACATAACTATCTCGATGACACAATATTAGTTTCCATGAAAACAAACGGCAAAATCAAAATATCAGAGAACCGGAAGCCAGAAAATCCCTCTCAGTAGTCAGTTTTGGCTGCTATCGCATCAGCTCTAAACTACTTATCCTTATCTTATGTTCATGGCTATGTTCATGGCTTCCAAACAAAGAGGATGAGAAAGCTGCTGATACAGAGCAGGCAGCTGACAGTGTAAGAGTAAGACTTCCCGCTTGTAGATTTTGGCTAAACCTAGAAGGGCCAGTTTCAAAAACCAGCTGCAAATTTTACTTATCCTTTGGACCCTTAAACTTCCCAGTACTTCAAAGAGAAAAAACGTTAATGAAAAAAGTTTTTCTCCCCCTAAGGAGTCACTTTGCTTTTAATTGTCTTTATACTTGAAATCCTTTAAAATTTTATTTTAGAAATAATGTTCAAATATTCATATCCCCATATATAAAATCAATAACAATTAGTGTGTGGTGGTGTTATACTATACACTGGGGCTTCTCGGGTGAAAGAAGATGCCCTTTGGATTTGTGCCTCTCAGTGCACCAGATGCATACATAGATAGCCACATGAGAATAAACTGCACATATGCTGTACAAATTAAATCTCAAAATATTTGCTTAAGCAAAGTGTCCTATTTACCTTTATCTCTGCTACCTTTGATTTCCTCTGCCAGTCCCATACAGTCAACATGTGCTCATTAGAGTCATCAATCACACACAAATGAGAACCTGAATCCTTTAAAAAGAAAGCCACAGACAATGCTGTCATATCACATTTTAAAATAGGATAAGGTATGATTTAAAACCAAACACAACAGTACTATATTTCAAAATCACTAGAATGCACAAATAAATACTGTCTATATGAATAAGCAAAAGTTTAATATATTTGGATATTTTCCTTTATACTTGGAACTGAGAAATCTAAATTCAGCTTAGTATCATTTCCCAATAAACAAACGAAACACACTTTAGATGGTATTCTGGTAGAATTTGAAAGCAGACATTGTCAACTCCCCCTCACCACCACCTTTCAATACCTTTTTAACCCTATTGTTTGCAATACTGTGTTGGAAGCATAAAATACAAAATGTTTTGTCATCTACCACATTGGTCCCTTCCCATTTGGAAAATATTTTCCTTGTCAGTTTCATATGGAACATGTAACTCTCTTGGTTCATTTCTTTAATTGTAACAATAATATTAACACTTTGCACATATATCTTGTTTTATATTTTAAAAGCCATGTATACATAGCCAATTTAGACCTCACAGCAATAACTGTTAGAAGCTCCATTTTGCAGATAGGAAAACTGAAGCACAGAATACATTATCAAAGTAAGAGCATGTCTAGCTATCAAATTTAAATGTCTGTTCTCCCTCTGCAATAGCAACTTAGCATTTAAGTTTTACATACTGTAAACAGTGTAAATGTTTCACAACAAGAAGTTACTGAATAAAAAGAATCAACGATAAACATAGTTAGGGCCAAATTTTAAAAGACAGGCCCAGGATCCTTGGGGCACAAATATGCAGTATTTACAAATGAACATTGGGGGGAGTTATTATTGTAGCACCACATAAAAATCAGGCATTTAAGTACCTATTGGTGAACAGATTTGGGGCCTTCTTTTTCTTTTAAATGTGGTTCCTAGAGTCCCAACTACATTCACTAACAGATTATGACAATTTTCAGGTGACAGTACAATTTCCCTTTAAAAGTGAATTTGAAACAGAATGCTAGGTGTACAAAACTAAACTAAGAGGCCTTATTCTTGCTTTGGTTACATGCGCTGCTCTCATTGGGATTAGTGGGATCGGTAGAACAATATGGCCCTAGGGTATTTCCTGCTTATTGTCCCTATACGGCACCATATGACAGCTATGTTTGGGATGTGAAATGATTTTTTTTAATTATGTCAGGTTTCAAAGTAGCCGCCCGGGTAAGCCTTATCCACAAAAAGAACAGGAGTACTTGTGGCACCTTAGAGACTAACAAAATTATTTCAGCATAAGCTTTTGTGGGCTACAGCTCTGAAGAAGTGGGCTGTAGCCCATGAAAGCTTATGCTGAAATAAATGTGTTAGTCTCTAAGGTGCCACAAGTACTCCTGTTCTTTTTAAATTATGTGTTATTGTTAGATTATTATGGCTAACCTGAAAATTTGGCCCTAACTGGTCTAAGCTGCAGCTGCAAAATGGCACTAACAAAAATGGATGCTGGCCCTTACTGTTCTTCTAAGATTTTTTTGATGTCATTTTTCTCTACTTTTTAGAAAATAAGAGAGAAAACTATGATAGGCATAAGAGAGGCCTTTTAGAGGCTATGAACGTATGACACTGAAATAGCATTTTTCAGCTCTGTGGGCTATAATTGTATGCTATAACGAGCTGGAGGAAATAATGGTGTTATCTTAAACTGTACTACTTTGTTTCTACAATATGCTGGGGCAGGTGAACATTTATTCTTTTTAACAGCAAATTTTTTTTGTCACTTCTTGAGGGCATAACAAACATAATTAACAATATTAATTTTAGCAGCATAACTAAGCACCAGTTTAGTCTGTTTTATTTATTTAATTTCTTAATTGTGGGAGATTTTTTTTTTAAACTGGGGATAAAAGGAGATGACACCTTTACTGTCCTATGTATGTCTTTGGCACCCTACCAGGAGGTCCTTATTCATACACACTTATGGCAGGAGTGCTTATTTAAAAACCACATTACGATGGATGTGAGAGTTGAGAATGCTGCCATTGGATGATATGAAAAGCCTGAATGGAAGAAATAATTTGGAGCAGTAGGTCCCTCAATTGCCATAATGATGGTCAATAGTAGATATGAAAGAATAAACCAATGAGGACTAGACTAGGTTTTTGGAATTGGATATCAGCCCCACTGGGTTCAAATGAGGAATTATCTCAGAATGTAGATCACTGGTTGGGGCAGGGACCTTCCACAACAGCTTCTGCAGTTTAATACAAGGAATGAATTACACCTCTACCCCAATATAACACTGTCCTTGGGAGCCAAAACATCTTACTGCGTTATAGGTGAAACCGTGTTATATCGAATTTCCTTTGATCCGGAGCGCACAGCCCCGCCCCCCTGGAGCACTGCTTTACCGCGTTATATCCGAATTCATGGTATATCGGGTTGCGTTATATCGGGGTAGAGGTGTACTGAAAACTTGCAGTGATACTGAAGATACTGAGGAGATATCTGGGCTAATTACCAAAGAGATACTAAATCCAATCTGAGGCTCAGGCTGGCTGGGGAGGTGGAGTAGCTGTGCTTACTGCATGTAATCTTAAAACGCAGATCATCTCAAAACTGGGTATGTTTCAGCATGGCCAACTAGCGTAAGTGTCATAAAGCAAGTTAAACATGGGACTAAGTACAGCCCACCCTCTGTATCTAGGATATCCTGGCTGAGTTCCCAAATTTGACCATGGAATCAATTTAGTCTTAGAGTCACTGAGGCTAATTATCCTGTGTGAATTATGTCCAGGAGAACAATGACTCTTCTTGGTTGACTCAAGATGTCCTGGCCTCTGACAACCACAGAAAAGTCACAGGTGGTTCACAGATTTACACATGAAGCTGGCTGCACTCTGGATTTTATTTTAGGTATAGTACAGGTGACTTGGGGAGAGAAGATTATACTTGGCCAGAGTAAGAGCATGAACTTCATTTACTTTGAGGTTAGGCACTATCTTTGGGGTAGAGAATCTATTTTATTGTGCCACCCTCAGATTAATGGACCCAATCAGATTTCTGAAATCTCTGGAGGAGACTATTGTACAACAGATGGGCAACTGTTAATAGCCTGGGGTGATCTTATGATTACGTTTTATCATCATCTACTCCTGCAGTGGTTCATACAAACACCTTCCCTCCCAACCTTTTTAGCAGTTCACTTAGGTATTCAGATTATCTGCACCAGATTAAACATGCTGGAAGAGCTACAGTGCTGGTGACAAAAACTGTATTTTGTGATTTTTATCAATCATGACAAAGAATTTTGAAATCTTATGCCATGGCCATGATGGAAGCAAAGAAACACTCTTCTCCAGCATATCATCATCTAGGAAGTCCCGATCAAAAGAATCGTTCTGGTTAGTAGACCATCTGATTAATTTGAGCTACCCCTTCTCTCTCTCTCTCTCTCTCTCTCACACACACACACACACACACACACAGGAGTGCTTCTCACTGTAAGGAACGTTCTATTCACTTCATAGATCAGATTGTGTTTGTCTCGCCCTGATATAGAATGGTTTCTTATGAACTAAACAAAGTCGTCTCTGATTAGCTTCTTTGATTCAGCCAGACTCACTCCGTAAGATTCTGCGGAGTGATTGGGAAGCTTTGGGCTGCAATTTGAGAAATAAAATCCTGCTGGTGGGACATCGGCTCTATTATTGGTAGACACAATCAATACCTCCATAAGCAAGGGCAAAGTGCTAACATCTCTCAAGCAATCAATTATTATTTCTTCTATTCAAGAAACTGCCTCATAATATTGATAATCTGGCAAATTATTGCTATGTCCTCTTTAAAGAAGATTATGACAAGGAAATTCTTCCATTTTCTGGATTTCTGATTACTGGAAACCCTTTCAAACTTTGTTTAGATCTGGCTACAGCTGAGAAACCATCCTGACCCAGGACTCTAGAAGTCACTTTCCTCACTGACCTGGCAAGGTACGCTGAAAGGTCTATATTTTTGCACAGGCCTTTGCCCGAAGAAGAGGTATGGGATGAGAGAATGAAAGATTTTACTTGGAACAGGGAGTTGTTGATTCTTTTAGTTCATTATTTATCAGAATTTTCCCAGCTAAGATACAAAACCTAGGCATGGCTTCTTGCCATGAATTATCCACATTCCACAGTCTTTTGCAGTCACAAAGAATTGTGCAATTGCCAAGAAACCATAGCTGATTTCAACTGCTGAGGGTGGGGAAAACCTGATGGAAACAGATGGGGCACTGGGTCAGAAGACTGGTGGAGAGGAGGTAGAGCAGGTCAGGGACTGCTGATGGGTGGGAGCTGGTTGCCATGGGCTGCTTGCAGAAATATGGGGCCTGATGCAGGTGCTGGGGTGATCAGTGGGTTGGAATGTGAGAGAGTCGGCAGTGGGGTGAGAAGGAGGAGCTCCTATGGATAGCACTTCTCCCTTCTCCTCCCAACCCAACTGTACTCTATTCTCAGGTGATGGCAGCTGGCTTCCTCTTCCATGAATAGAGATGGTGTTAAAGTGGGACGGGATAGGAAGAGGGGATACCAGATTGAGCAGGACAGCAGCATCTTCTATTCCCCTTCGTTTCCACATCTACAGGGCACAGAATTTCACTGTATTTGATTTTCAACCAGTGGGGTCAATATCCATTTGAGAATCGCTGCTTTGGACTAATTTTTCAGGGTGGGTGTACTTAAAGGAAACTAATGATTAATATATGCATATTTGGCAAATCTTATGGGAAGCACAATTATGATTTTGAAATAAAAAAGGTATTCCAGAGTTTAATATTTTCTCCATATTCAGCAGATTTGAAAAGATTTTTCCATTAAAAAAAAATGCGGGGCAGGCTGGGCAAATGATTTTAGCAAAATCTATATTTGTTTTATATAATAGTCAAAATTAACAAGATGAAACAGCTTGCTTAAAGTTAACAACAATTTTTCTGGTCACAAACTTTTGATGGCCTAGATAACAAGATTGCTCGTATTTGGTCTACATTTTAAAAACCTTTATGCTTGCCATTAAGAGGAGCTGATAAGACATTATTTCTTAAGCAGACAGAGGTGCAAGCAAGGGTTTTGTTGTTTCCTGTACTAGGATGAAACTCTAGTACAACGCAGAGAGAAAATTAATACTTTGCATCAGAACTTGCCAAGATTCATCTTCATGAACTTCCTCACAGAAACAAATCTTTCAACATGTGTTGAAACAGAAATGCAGTACGGACTTCTCAATTTCTATTCTACATATTTCTTGTAAACTGCTTATTGGTTGTGCTATTTTGCTGCCACTATTTTACATGTGTAACTTCCTGGGGGTTTTCCTAGAACTGTTTTCATTGCCCTGAGTTGTTTTAATGCAATTCATTTAACTTTCCAAACATGCTTCAGTCCCAAGGTAGTTCAGCTAGAAAACCACAGTACATATAACACTTACAGGTGTTTCTGTCTGACTTACATACAGTATGGTAAATTATTAAAAAAATGCAATTTTTTTCTTACTGCTTTTGAAAAATCCAGACACCCCACTCCACGCTCGAAAGTGCCGAGGCCAATAACCTGCAGTGTCATCAGGCTCACTGAGTCCCATACTCTAACATGGGGCTGCAAAGACTAAGTAAAAGCAATTTGATAAAAACTGTTACTGAAGGCTAAAATGTCACATGCAGATTTAATCTTACATTAAGCAGATACTGACTTCTGTTGATGTCAACACCACGAATTATTGACCTGTAAAGTAAATATTGACTGAAGTGAAGATAAATAATTATACAGTAACACCTTACATTTATATAGCACCTTTAATCTCAAAGGATTCTAGCCAAGATTTACAGACTTCTGTACAGCGACTGCTTTACCTATTACCTCTGGGATGGAAACAGAGCAGCATTGTTCAATTTAAAATGCAGGGCAAAATGTAAAATACCCAAGTCAAAATTTGGCCAATATCCTGATTCCATATATACTTATATATACACATTAAAAAAAAAAAAAAAGACCTGGGTTTTTTATCTCATACCAAAGGTGGCACATTCAACAGTGTTGCAGTGCATCCTAGCATCAAATCAGGTTAATGCTTCAGAATTGACTCAGGTTAGAGTACTGAATCACCTACACCCCCCTTCCTGCTGCAGCTTTTTCCATGGTGATGTTCCATCCAACTGATATCCAGGCCCAAACGTGCTTGGTTTCACATATTTGACAAGGCCATAGCCCACGATGGAATGGCTTAGTACAGCTTAAGAATAAAGTCAGTATTCACCACAAAAAGATAATAAATCATGATGTTGACAGAAAACAATTCTAAAAGGATTACTTCAACAACGGTGCAATGGAAATCATAACTGTAAACAATACCAACAATAAAATCACAATTATTCTTTGCAGCAAAATGGGATGAATTGCAAAGTCTAAGGATTGGTCTTATTTACAATGCATCTACTACTTGGACCATGTTCATTATAAAATTCTACTGTATGTCATACTAGCGATATTAACTTAGTAAAGATGAACTGATCATTTAAATTCCAAAAGACCAGTTTAACAGCCATATGCAGGACTGTTTATGGGTACTCTCACTCAGCTGGGTGAACTTGCTGTGCAGCTGGCCAAACCCTCAAGGCTTGCATAGCTCATGAAGTTAGGTTTCCTTTTCCTTGAGGCCATAAGAGTACATGGGGGCCTCTAGTTTGAGTCAGAATCTCTTTCCCTTGTGGAGAAGACTGACTAGAGTTAAGCATGGGAGTCCTATGGCCCTCTTGCGCTGATTGCAAATTCCACATTTGTGTGGGAAAGAGAAGCAGAAATATGTGATGCATACCACATGAAAACAGGCTTTATAAACTTCTGCTCTTTATAATGTGCAGTTGTGTATTTGATTTGTGTTCATTTTCTTATGCTAGAGGAATTCACTGTCACCTTAAAAACAGGAAAACTAAATATTTATCTAAATGTAACACACACACACAAATCATAAATAGAGGATCGAGGGATGAAAAGAATGAACTATGTATGTTTTATCCTGATTTTCAAACAAGAAACTATTCCTCAGCAGCTCTATTACTCACCCTTCCATCTTTATCCACTCCAGCTAGCTGTCCTGTTGCAATCCTAATTTTGTCTGGATGAACTGCAAGGCTAAGAAATAATGTCAACATGGAAGATATTTGTTAGGGATAGTCCACATTCTAATGCCCTGCTTTTGCCATCACAGTTCTTCAAAGTGAGAGGTCATTTTATAGTCCTTTTATCTGTGTGAACAGAAGTTTCACACAAAATATGCACACAGGAGCAAAGAAAAGTTTTAGGGTAAAATTTTCTAAAGTGCTTAAGTGACTTAGGAGCCAAAGTTTTATTTTAAAAAAATGACAACTTAGGATCACAGACTTTCAATGAGACAGTCTTGACAAATTTCGAGTCATACTAGTTCAGGTATCTGTTATCTAAAGAGTTTAGCCTCTTCTGGCAAATATCTGGACCTATTTATGGCCATTATAATATACTTTTGCACAGAGCAACTATGAACCAAAAAAGACCACTGGGGTCAGGACTCTGAGGGCTTATCTACACTTAAGTCAAATATTTCAGCCATTGGTGATGAGCCACCCATGAAGTCACACTGGTGAAAATTCTTAGTGTAGAAGGATAAATTGGTATAAGGCATGGTTTGTTCATGTGCATGTTATACTGCTTTCTAGCAGGTGTAAAACACCCCAGATACAGTAATTTGAAAGCACACTGCCTGTATCTCAGGCACATAATCTGGGTGTCATTTTTGACTTAGTTCTCATCCACTTTCTCTGTAACATCTGTAAGATGAGAGAGCTAGTGGAGGGAGGCAAACAAAGGGTTGATGTGGTCAGAATGATGGATCAGGAAGAGCAGCAGGGCCGCCCAGAGGATTCAGGGGGCCTGGGGCAAAGCAATTTCGGGGGCCCCTTCCATACAAAAAAGTTGCAATACTATAGAATACTATATTCTCGTGGGGAGCCCTGCGGGGCCCAGGGCAAATTGCCCCACTTGCCCCCCGGGCAGCCCTGAAGATCAGTCTAGCACAATATCCTGACTGAATGTAAAGGGAGCAAGATTGGAGGCATCCAGGCCATAGGAAGTGATTACAGTAAATAAGTCACAAAACAATAAGGGTCTAGACAACATATTTTGTACAGACAGAAAGACCACTTCACCAACATATTGAACATTCTTCTCACCTTTATGACCTTCCACCAAATAAACCTACACTACTTTTCCAATAGAACATCTAATTAAAGTCAACCATTGCCTTTGCTCTGCTAATGATACTGGCCTTGACTGTCTGCTTTCCACATGAGCATCTTTGTGCTGACTCCCAGGCTATCCATTAATCCTTAGGAATAACTCTCTATCAAAGTTTGCAAAGCCATTACTCAACTTCATACTTTTGTAAATCCTCCTTAAAACCTACCTTTGCCATAATGTCTGCAAATCACTCCCATCTGGCTTTGGTTGGGCTGATGACCACTTTGACCACTATTCTGGCTAGTTTATGCTGCTATTCCTGCCTCTACTACACTGCTCCCCCACATCTGTGTATTCTCATAATTTTTTGTTTAAATCCAAGACTGTAAACTCTCTAAGGCAGGGACTGTCTTGTTGTCGTGTGTTTGTACAGTGCTTAATACAGTGGAGCTCTGATCAGGGCCTCCAAGCAGGGCTGTGATGGAAAATAATAAAAATGACAATGATGACAAAATAATAATAAAGCAACAAATGCCCCTTCAGTTTAAGGATATTAAATAAATATGAAGTTGCATTACAATAAATTATGGTATATTTACACACACGCAGGCATTTATAATCAGTTGTTATATACCAACCATTTAACACAGTCTGTATGACCTAAGTAGTGTCGCTGAGTTCTCTCTTCATAGTTAAATAAAACAACTACTGATGCTATGAAGTATACTATTTCTCCAGTAGGAAGGAGGTATACATTGGCTCGACAATCTCTTCCACGATACCCATATCTTTTTTAAAAAGTCAAGGTTTTTAATAAAATAGCTTACGAGGATCAGTTTAAAAAGGCTTCCCTGTGGAGTTCTCAAATGTTAATACCTTTTCCTTTTTAATTTCCCTTGTGAACCTCTGAACCAGACATTATCCTCATTACTTTTGCACAAATATGTAGCTTTAACAAAAAATATTGCACATGCAAAAGAGTTCAGGAAACCAATATGCTGTAAGTTGTGCCCATTAACAGAAAAAGAAAGCATACATAAAAATATGCAGAAGTATGAAGAATGAAACAGTGTCAGTTTATAAAGTGTAAATGTGAAATTTCATTAGGTAATAGGAGCACTCACTGTACCGCCTTAACGTGTTTCACAGCAACAGAATTGCGTCAGACAGCAGACTTTGTACTTTTGCATTCCAGAGTACAAGTGTATCAGTTCCACTGGGCCTCTTAAAACAAGTGTGTGAAAATTCCAAATGCTCCTCAGAAAAAGGCAAGATACTGCAAAGCAGCTCCATCATTTGGGAAATGGAACTTTAAATATAAAAAGGTCATTAAAAAAATAAGACCAAAGAACAACATAGGGCTAGATAGGTACATTTACCCAATCCATATTAAGTCGAGGGGTGTGGGAGATCGGGAGGGGGGGGGGTATCTGTGCTGATAATGGGATACAGAGCCTTTACCAATTTCAAATCCAACCTTGTTCAGCAGTACTTAAACCTAGTTACCATACAGCTGCTTCGTGTCCTGTGTAAGGAGGTTATGTTTATTTAATGTACCTATCTGCTCCTGTTTCAATCCTTAGGCTCATTACATACAATTAAAAATACTAACTTTACCAGAATATAAAATAACATCTATAAATCCTTAAATTTTTTTTACTAAAATACCTTCCCCACTATCACCCTGGCCGTCAATGACAACTTCCCACCTCAGCACCCTCTCACTCCACTGTATCCCCCAGGAAAGTATGGAGAATACACTGTAATAAAAGACCCATGGCACAGCCCCACCCATGGCACACTGTAATAAAAGACCCAAGTGAGCTGACTCGGGTTGTCAGGACTTGGAGTGTGAGGCTAAAAATTGCAGTGTAGATGTTTGGGCTTGGGAAACCCAGGGGTGAATCTCAGGCTATGTCTACACTACCATGGTAGGTCTACCTATGCTACGCAACTTCAGCTACATGAATAACGTAGCTGGAGTCGACGTACCGTAGGTTGAGTTACCGTGGGGTCTACACCATGGGGGGTCGATGGCAGAAACTCTCCCGTCAACTTATCTTACCTTCTCGTCGGGGGTAGAGTACAGGGGTCGACTGGAGAGCGATCTGCTGTCGATTTGGTGGGTCTTCACTAGACCTGCTAAATCGACCGCCGGTGGATCGATCTCAGAGTGTCGATCCCAGCTGTAGTGTAGACGTAGCCTCAGAGACTGGGCTCCAGTTCGAGCCTGTATATCTACACTGAAATTTTTAGCCCCACAGCCAAAGCCACATGCGCCTGAGTGAATTGACTTGGTCTCTGAAACTTGGTACTGCTATTTTTTTCTTGCAGTGTAGATGTACCTTAAGAGACTCTTGCAGTGTTGCCCTGAAAGCCTCCAAAAATGGGCTCTGGTCAACTAGGCAGGCAGGAAGTGAAATTCAGAGTCAAAGATCCTGCTCAGAAAATGCTCTACCACCAGCCCCTCCTTAAAAATAAAACCAGAGGGCTGCTAGGTTGGATAATAACTGTGGCTGTACCTTAGGAGGAGAGAGGCGATGTCTTCAATTGGCAGCCTGAGCTCTCTTCCTAGTGGACAGGCATACCGTTTAGATACCGTTTAGACGAGGTTGTTAAATTATGAAAACTAAAGACAAATGTCCTTACCCGTTAAATTTACTTTGCCACAGTATATCAAACATTCTTAGCAACAGTATTTTGTCCCACGAGACAGCTAGAGATGGGGAAAGGAAATTAACAGATAAGGGAAATTTTGTCTGTTGATCGCATTAATGAAAATCCTAATAGGGAAGTGACTAGCAGCGAACTTCCAGAATTGATGCTGACAGACCAATCATAACATTAACTCTTTACCATAGTATGAAGAGTTCTGTTCTAAATGCAGTTTCTGTGGGGAAGAGCAGATCTTTGTTGCCATGTGTAGTAAAGAAACATAATGATAAAAGTTTATTTGGATTGACACCTTTGAATGTTCAACCTAGAACAACATTAGGGACCTAGCAGATTGAGCTTCGAACCCTGATGGTGTAAACAGGCATTTCACAGCGGCAGCTATCAGTGGAAAGCTAGAAATTTTGGCAGATGAAACAGTGGAGAGAAAGGGGAGTGGTGTGTTAAAAGAGACATTTGTCCATTGGACTTTCTCTCAGCAAGGTGGGAAACTGATTCAAAGAACACTGCTCCCAAATACCCGGTGTGTGTGTCTCTGTGTGTGTCTGTATGTGTGTGTGTTTACTTATTGTTTGCATACTTCTGAGTCATTGTTTCTGTGTTTTCCCAACATTAATGCTGTTCCCTCTCCCCTTGCTAATGGTTTTCTTTTTTGTTATACACAGAATTGGTGCCTGCAAGTGGGGAAGCTTTGCCTCTTAGAGGCTCTGGTACAAGTTTCTCTACTCGCCCGCTGGGGCGCCTCTTTGTGGTTCATCTGGGGATTAGCTCTCAACCAGTCTGGTGCCCCTCCCTTTGGTTGCCTGCCCTATGGTGTCTTTCTCTCTCTCTAGACTTGACTGCTCCCCCTTCATAACCTCAGGGCTACAGTGGATGTAGGTTCCACAGCTTCTCCTTTCCAAAGCACTGATATTCTCAGCCTTTAAGCTATCTATTACTCAGCAGGGCAAAAGGAAAGAATGAGTAGTTTTAATTTACTTTGCTAAGATGACACATCTAATAACAGAATGTCTATAGGGAGTAGTACTAGGACACAGGGTCCTTTCATCTTGATCCCTGGCAGACAACCTGACAGATGTGAACGACTGTTCACATCATCAATGCCACTAGTACGATTGGTAGTTTGGGCAGTGTCAGCAGAGCAACCAATTATTGGACTGAAGTATGCCCTTGGAGTTTGTCTGCCCAATGTGAATACAATGGAGAAGAATCAAATTAGCTGACACAATGCTGACCACAACTTTTACGGGTGAGTCAGTGCACATCAGGACAAATCACGTTCAGCATCATTTCCCACAACAGACTAACACCATGATGCTGCATATAAACTGTCCTAGTCTACACTGATGTAAAATTGTGATCAGAATCATGTCACCTAACTTCATTCTTCACAATCAAATACAAACACAATACCATTTCATAAAGCAGACCAGCCCCTAGAAGCGAGTCCCTTCATTTGAGGGTTCAAGAGCATTGGTGGTGCAAATGTGGGAAAATTTGCACTCCGTGGCTCATTCTCTACCTGCTTTGTGGATTAACATAGCAGAAGATTTTGGAGTTTTATTCAGCACCTTTCACTGCATCAAAACCTCCTAAAAACCAAGAGAAAATAAAGTCTCACAATGTTCCATTACACAGAGTGTACATGAATGTGTCTGAAACCAAAATCTTGCTGTTTGGAAATCATATTCTAATGCAACAATTTGGAGAAGATTTTCTTTTTTCCCTAGTTAAAATAATTAGTTCCAATAGAAAAGTAAATACAGCAGTATATGATATGACTGCTCAGTGCATGGAAATTTACGAAGTCTATCTTTACGACTCTGTAGTGCGAGTCAACTTAAAAAACTGTTTTGTCAAGGAAAACTAATTTTTCTGATTTAAACCAATTCCATAATTATAAGAAAAATCATGAGATTAGATTTTTAAAGAAAAATAACTCACAAAAGAGGAACAGCAAATATTTAATGGTGCACAAGATAAGGATACACCCACTCCAGTTTTAACTTCTCAGGAGGCAGTTCTGTCCTAATGTCATCATAGTTTTCTACATCAGAAGGAATGAACATTGTGATTGGTCGACCCCGCATGAACATCTTAATATACTCTCCCTCTGTTGAAACAAAAAAATATTAATTGCAATGATTTTACTTTCTGTGTTCAATTCTAATGAATACCTCAATATTAAGCTAATAGATGCAAAGAATATATTTACAGTGTTATGATTATTATCTTACAAAATGTGGGTTTGATAAAGGACAAAATTTGTGTATTCAAAAATTATACTTACACAATTATACATGCACAGTTACTGCTACCATAAATGTATTTGTGGAAACTCTTTGAATAACTGTGCATGTAACATTTTATACAAATACCTGATGATACCTAAATTTCAAAGTTATCTCAAAATCTGAATTTGGAATTATCACAAATAATATTTATTAAACCTCAGCATCTTAAAATAGATAATAACAACAAAAAAGATGTGTCAAGTGGATATCATTAAAATCACTCAAGTACTCTGGTAATCTGAACATTCAGTAGAAATGAATAGATCACTGTTCCTAACAGTACTATCACTTCTACTGAAAATATCTCAGCGACAAATAATGTGCACTTCCATAGCACGTATTCATGAACGGATCTCAGAATGCTTTACCAGACAATGAATTAAGCCTCACAGCTCCTCTTTGAGGATCATTTTTCATATGGGGGAACTGATGTACAGAGAAGCTAAACGGTTTCCCCAGAATGGCACAGCGAGTCAGTAACAGTCAGTAATCCTGCTTAAAGGTTCCCTTAAAGCGGGATAAAACCATGGTCCCAGTGGAGTCCTTTCCACACAAGTGCCAATTACAATTTCTGATGAAGTTTAAAATATATCAAGGACCTGATTCTGAGTTACACTATGAGCACTCTGGCAGTGTTAAGAGCAGTGTCAGGAGCCCTAGTGTAATTGAGAAACAGTCCCTAACCTAAATGATTTACTTATTATGGTTTAATTTATGGCCTATTTTCAGTATCTTTCCCCTTTAACAGTAATTAATGTCAATGGTGAATATCACGAACATCACAAACTAAAAAATGTAATATTTCAGTCTTAAATATACAAATTTGATTAGATATAAACCAACCATCCCCACCCCCACGCAGAGTTTATCTTCCACCAACAGCAGAACTCCCAGATGTTCCTGAGTACGATATCTGAAAATCCTAATAGTTAATACAATCACTCAGAGATCGCAGCAGTCAGTTGAATCAGTGAATAGGATCCTACAGCTTGCTGACAAATAGGGGAAGAGTGGAAGCATAACTATTCAGTGTTGATGGATTAGCACTGAGAAGTGTGATAATGACACCTGAAGTGATTAATATTGCCAATTCCAAACTAATATATTTGATTAATTTTTAAAAATCTCTTGTAAGAAAGAAATTCAAGACAAGCCTTTTAGAAGTGACCAAGCAATATTTTAAAATCATTCTTGAACATGAGAGGCAAGGTCACTGCCTCTCAGATTGCAATGTAGAAAATATTCTTGTAGAGATGTTTGTAGAAGATTATAATTTAGAGATGCTCCCTCCTAAGGGACAGTATTATGAACAGAGGAATTTGGAGATGTGCCGTGAAGGTGGGGGTTGGGAACACCACATGGCTGTGTGTAGCAGCTCACTACAGAAGCTCTCCATTTCCTTTTATTAAAGTTTTATTCCTTTCTCATTCACTGGTTTGCTATTTAATGAACCCCAGGATCATTACAAGGTGTCAGAAGTACTGAATGAAAAGATAACTGCAGTGATTGTGAAGTTAACTCCTGTGTTTGCAACTGAAAACAGAGACAAAGGGAGGCACCAGAGAAACAGGGGAGCATCAGACACAGAGGCGTTGGCATGTATTTGGTGAGCACAATAGTAGCTTGACTAGTTTAAAAAGGGAGGGGAAAAGCCAAAAAATGGATGTGTTGCAACCTTTTTCCAGTCTGCAATTGTGTCAGGCAATGTTGTAGAGAACTGGAAAATAATTCAGACAGGGATTTCAATTGTATTTAGCAGCAGGGGAGGAAGCACTGGATATTTATAACAACTTTAAGTTTGAAGAAGGTGAAAGCATGAAGTTAATTTTTTACTGTATTTATAGTATTTTACTGACTAAATTTGAGAAGCATTGCATGCCAAAAAAGAATGAAACATTTGAGAGAATTTTTTTACATGCATGCAAAAAACTGATGACACCATAGAGCAATATGTCACAGAATTATGGAAATTCAGTAAAATCTGTGACCATGGGCAGCGGGTGAACCATTGGTTGGGGGAGGCTAGCCCCCGGCCGCCCCCGTCCCCCATAGCCCAAGCACATGGTTCCCTTGCTGGAGCTCCTCCCTTCCACGTGGCCACCAGCCCCCATCCCCCGGCCTCAGCCCCTGAGCGCAGGGTGGGCAGTACGCGGCCCCCCCCAGTCCCTGCGCGCAGGCCAGGGGTGGCCCCCCCAGCCTCAGTGACCCCAGCGCCCTCCCCCCTCCCAAGCACAGGATGGGTAGCCCAAGCGCCTCCAGCCTCCCTCCCCCGCGTTGGGTGGCCCCAGCCGCCCCAAGTCCCGGCCGCCCCAGCCCAGCACGCTTCCCTGACGAGAAGCAGCCTGCCTGGGCTAGGGCCAAGGGAGAAGGGCAAGCAGGAGGGGGCTCCGAGGAGGAGCATGGGCAGGGCCATGCTGGCTATTTGGGGAGGCACAGCCTTCCCCAGCCTATACGACGCCCACGCCTGTGACTTTACTGAGTTGCCAGAGTCTCTGGTCAGAGACAGAATCATTTGTGGTATTAAAGACAATGTGTTAAGGGAGAGACTGCTCCTCGAAGGAGATTTAACTTTAGAAAAGGCTCTCCAAATATGCAGGGTAGCAGAAGCACAAGCCAAAGAGCTGAATTCAAGCCAAAGGGGTTATTCACGTACTAAGTACTAAAGAATATAGCCAGAATAGGTCAAATCAAAGAGTGGAACCAATCGCTATGAAAACCACTGCTAGGGAGAAGACTGGATATAGATGGTTATGTGGAAGGTGTGGATCACAACATGGTCCCAAATAATGTGTTGCCTTTGGGAAACTGTCATAAATGTGGGAAGAATAATCATTTTGCAAAATGCTGCAAAAAAGTCAAGTCTATTTAGTTAAAGACAATCTTGAGGAGTTTTTCATAGATGTACTGGGATCTACCAAGCCTGATGAGAGGGATTGGATACTGCCTATGACAGAGAATGGAATAATTATTCCACTGAAACTGGACACAGGAGCTCAGGTTAATATTCTGTCTGAACAAGATTATCAGAGGCTGAATATAAGATCAAAACTGGAACCAACAAAAATAGAAGTAACTGGTTATTCTGGAAAAAAATATACCAGTGAAAGAGAGGTACATTGCTAGCATCAACGATAAAAAAATGTACAGGTTCCCTTTCATTGTGGTGCCAAAGAAGGTGACACCAATTTTAGGCCTGGCTGCATGTGAGAAACTCAGTCTGGTAAAACGGGTGCTCTCACTACAAGATCATACTGAACCTGGCTATGAGGCACTCTTTCGGGAATATCATGACCTGTTTCAATGGTTGGTTTTGCTTGCAGGGTGAACATATAATCTGGATAAACAAGCAGGTCCCTCCAGTTATCCATACATGTAGAAAGGTGCCATTTGCACTCTGTAATAAACTCAAGGCTGAGCTTGCAAGGATGGAACCAATGTACGTAATACAAAAAATTGAGGAGTCAACAGAATGGGTGAGCTCCCTTGTCATCATAGAGAAAAGTAACAGCCAGCTACGCATATGCTTAGATCCCAGAGACCTCAACAAGGCTACAAAAAGAGAACATTTCAAACTACCAAGCAGAAAAGAGATTATGGTTCAATTTGCAAATGCTCGATATTTCAGTAAATCAAATGCATCCTCAGGGTTGTGACAGTTAAAATGAACCGAAGAAAGTTCAAAGCTATGCACATTTATTACCCCATTTGGAAGCTATAGATTCTTATGGTTACCCTTCGGCATAGCTTCAGCACCAGAAGTGTATCACAAAACCATACATATGATCTAAAAACATATTAATGATGTTGACACCTCAATGGATATCATCATCATCATCATCATCATCATCATCTGAGGCTCAACAAAAGAGGAACATGATCATAGACTTTGGGAAGTCCTGGATGCAACTAGAGCTGCAAACCTCAAACTAAATAGAGAGAAATGTGCTTTAGGGGTTACAAAAGTGACTTTTGTTGGGGACATTATTTCCAACCAAGGTATAAAACCTGATAAAAGAAAGATTTCAGCCATTGAAATGATGCCATGTCCCCAGTCAAAGAAAGATGTCCAACGGTTAGTAAACTCTGAGGACAGTGTCCAGATCTTTCTCAGGGTTTCAACTACATATGTACACACACACACACACACACACACACACAAAATAATAAAACTACGGTCAGAGAACAAAGATTGGAAAAAAGATAACAAAAAATCTATTTCCAGTTATGAACGAGACAGAATGAGTGTGGATAATGTTAGAAATAAAGTGTAGTTAGTCAAGGTTTCCTCCTAGAACCAAACAACTAAGTCTGAGAACTGGCAACTCACCAATCTAGTGAATACCCTAGAGTACCTGAGGAAGCTCCTACTGAATTCAAAGGATTATTAGGATTGATTGAAATTCTGTGGAATAAAACTGGGGCCCTGAAAACACTAGTAATTACTAGATCTGGACATATTGTGACAAGCCTAACTAGACTTGAAGGAAGACCAACTCAGTCACTGAGACAAAAGAAAAATTATGAGCGTAACAACCAAGCTGAACCACTATGCCAGCTTCTATGGCATCATGACCTCTAACAAATCACAGAGCAATCAAATCTTAAAACATACTAAATAACTGCATTAATTTAGATTGCAAGCTCGCTACGGAAAGGTCTTCTCATTGTATTTGTCTGTAAAGCACCATGCATACTTATGATACTATATAAATAATACCATAGTACCGTAACAGAAATAACAACACATCCAGGCTGACAAAATTTACATTTACCATAATTTAATACAGTAAAAGCTTTGTTATCCAACATGTTGCTGATA